GGGGCTGAGGCTGCCATGAGGCACCTTTTGTCACTGGCTGTATTAGAGAAAGCATGGCATTAAACTTGCTGTATATTGGCTATAGAGTCACTCCTCCACCAAGGGGGGAGGGGAAGGGAATGGTCTCTGTGGCACACATCCCAAGTCTCCGTCGCTCCATAGGCTTCCAGATTGCCCAGCAAGCAGTGGCTTTTCATTTCATTTCTCTCTCCTTCCACCTGGCCTTGAGAACATCTCTTCGTCCCGCAGATTGCACCCACTAGCTGTCCCCTTCCTCCTGCTGGCCTCGGAACGGAGCAATGAGTCACCAAGCCTCGCAGGGTGGAGAGCCTCGGGGAAAGGGCCGTGGTTGTGTGTCTTTGGCGCTAGAGATGTTTTGTGCACTGCAAACTCTGCTCCACACCTTCTCCTCTTCTATGGCTCTACGAGCGCTGGCACCTCTTGCAGCTGAGTTTTCTAGTGTCCTTAGAACCATCAGGGAAGCTGTCAGCCCTCTGTGTCTAGTCATGTCCTCCTGATATACGTGCCCTGGAAGGACATTCAGGGGTTCGGCTGTAATATGGTTCACAGAGTACCATAAAATTACCCCTCACCTTACCCTTAAATTATTATTGTTTTGGTTTTGTGTTTCATTATTTTAAGGAGAGAGAGGGTTGCTTCACATCTTCAGACCTATGGTGGGGGCATCCTCCAGGCAAGCCCCTTTCCCACCCTGGCCCATGATTATGGAACTCAGATTTTACTTGCATCCACACTTAATCCCCCTTAGTTTCCATCCTTCCTCCCTTTCTACGCTCTTTCATTAACACCCTCCCACTTTGTTGGTTCACAGTGTCCACCAGCACAGAAGTTTATGACTGTACCTGAGAAAATGGATGTTTATTTCTCTTAAAGGGATGATTGGTTGACCTTTGACCTCTGTAGAAGTCTTCCTCTTTTGCCCGGTTTACGACGTACATGTAAACACAAAGATGATCCTTGTTTTTTGGGAAGTTTTATTTTAATGCTATGGAGATTTAATTAATAAAACCAATTCTAATATGAATGAAGTGCCTGGTGCTGTGCGTTTTGTTTGAAGGCTGGGTACTGGTAGATAAAGGTGCTACGCTGGTTTTAATGAACACTATAATGTTGATTTCATTGTGTGAAAGCCTACAAAAATACTTGCATAAACACCTTCCGATTCTATCACGTGCTTCCAAAAGAGTCAAAATCCAGCTCATCACATGGTCAAAATACAGCCACAGTGTTGCACATTTCTCTAGCACGTTTGATCCATGATCTCAAAACGCTTTATAAACGGTCTCATTATCCTCATTTTACAGATGGGGGCACTAAAATGCAGAGAAGGGGAGTGGGTTTGATCCACAATGGCAGTCAGGAACAGAACACAGATCCTTTGAGATCCACTCCAGTACTTGACATTCAGCCGGCATCTTGTTAAATGAAAACTATCTTATCCATCAGCCATACCCCTGACCCATTCAAATTGCTGCATGTACATCTGTAAAAACACCACACCGGAAAGACCACCGTGTAAAAAAGGAAAACTCCCCAAACTCTGTGCCTACGTCTAGACTACATCCCTTTTTCGTAAAAGGGATGTAAATTAGAGGTATCGCAATTGCTAATGAAGCAGGGATTTAAATCTCCCGCGCTTCATTAGCATAAAAATGGCTGCCGCTTTTTTTCGGCACGGAGCTTTGCCAGGGAAAAGCACCAGTCTAGACGCTGATCTTTCGGAAAATGAACCCTTTTCCAAAAGATCCCTTATACCTCTTGAAATAAGGGATAACGGATCTTTCGGAAAAGGCTTTATTTTCCAAAAGATCAGCGTCTAGACTGGTGCTTTTCCCTGGCAAAGCTCCGTGCCGAAAAAAAGCGGCAGCCATTTTTATGCTAATGAAGCACGGGAGATTTAAATCCCCGCTTCATTAGCAATTGCGATACGTCTAATTTACATCTCTTTTACGAAAAAGGGATTTAGTCTAGACGTAGCCTGTCTGTATAGCTTCCCAAATACCCATAACATCTTCATAGAACACTAGAACTGGAAGAGATCATCTAGTCTAGTCCCCTGTGCTCATGTCAGGACCAAGCACCATTCTAGATCATCCCTGACAGGTGTCTGTCTAACCTGCTCTTAAATATCTCCAGTGATGGAGATTCCACAACCTCCCTAGGCAATTTATTCCAGTATTTAACCACCCTGACAGGGAGGAAGTTTTTCCTACTGTCCAACCTACACCTGCTTTGCTGCAATTTAAGCCCGTTGCTTCTTGTTCTATCATCAGTTAAAGAGAATCATTTTTCTCCCTCCTCCTTCTAACCACATTTTAGGTACTTGAAAATTGCTATCTTGTGAGCAGAGAATCCCAACTGACTCTAATAAGGTTCAGACATGGTGTAGAGTCAGAACTCAGCTGCTTCCTGCTGGGCAGTTTTATTAACAAAGACACTAACAAATATTTATGATTATTAATAAGATAATATCAAGTTTGGCACAGTCCTCCTCCCTGCACCAAGCTGCTCCTTGCTCAGCCTGAACATCCTCAACTCTCTCCAGTTCCCCTCAACCCAGCCGTCCTACACAGGTAGAAAAATACTCCGCTCTTTTAGAGACCCCACAACTCAGAATTCTCTCCCTTCTGATGCTCCCTGAACTATCCTTGGATACCCCGGGGGGGGGGGGGGGAAAGGGGGGTTTGAGGCAAACCTTCCATTCTTCTTTTACTGCACAGACACCTGCATGTGTGCGCATGCACACACACAGCTGGACATTAGGAAAAACTGCCTGTCAGAGTGGTTAAGCACTGGAATAAATTGTGAAATCTCCATCACTGGAGATATTTAAGAGCAGGTTAGACAGACACCTGTCAGGGATGATCTAGTTGGCGCTTGGTCCAGTCGTGAGGGCAGGGCGGGACCTGATGACCTTTCGAGGCCCCTTCCAGTTTTAGTGTTCTATGATTCCATGTTGGCAGCCTGTGTTTCAGTCCCAGCCCCTCTCTGGACAGGAATGAAGATGGCTGATACAATTTCAGCAGCTGGGGAGCAGCTCCCCTTGAGCACTTGTTCTCGCCAGTAGCAGCCTTTCCTGTCCATGGTCCTGGTCTTGGAGGCATTTGATGCCACAGGCCAGGGGTGACCAAACTTACCGGCCTTCCAAGCCACATTACGACCAGTCTTCACCGTTTTGAGAGCCAGGATGCAACTGCTGCAAGCTGGGTTTAGGGGCTTCAGCCGTCCTGCTGGGCAGAAGCCCCTACCGCACCACCAAGCTGAGAGCTGCAATGAGCTGAGCAAGGCTTTAATGACAGGCTGGGGAGCATTTAGGCTTGTTTCACTATGGGAGATGCACAATGGTGCATAAACAATACAGGGTAGCAGTGACGGGCTAGGTCCCCCATCCCCATTGTCTTGGTTGAGGGACTGCACCAAGCAGCGGCCAGTCCTGGGTAGAGGCCTATGTGCCAGGCCCCTTACTGACTGGAAAGATGATGCCGCTGGGCAACTGGAGGCTGAACGGGACATTCGTGGTGGATTGCGAGAGGGCTGGAAGCCTGCCTGGAAGACCCTAGGTGCTGTGTGATTACAGGGTTGGGGTGAACCTGTCCCATGGAAGTGCAGCAACAGGCACTGGGCTAAGAGACCGACCCAAAACCCTTGGGCGTTGGGGGCTGGGTAAAGGGGCTGGGAGGTGGCGGGTCCCTTGCATGGCTGTGCTGGCTTACCTTAGGCTTCCAAAGATGGCAGGGTTTGGTGCACCGCAGGGCTCATAGGCTCAGCTTCCAGAGAGATGGGGTGCCAGAGCAGTGAGCTTTCTGTTGCTCTGCAGCCACACATGTTGGCTGATCAGGAAAGGACCAGCCAGTGTCTGAGGCGAGCTCACATTGCCCCTCCCGGGTGGTGGGGAGTGGTGGTCCCATGCGGACAGTTTGCAGGGAGGTGGGCACTCCATGGAGGGAGATATCTACATGAAAACCCTTCCCCAGCCTATGCAGTGAAGGAGTTTATATGCAAACAAGGTCTCTTGGAGCCCCCTGCTGTTGGCGGGATTGAGCCCAAAGCGTGAGGATGCTGAGCGGGTATATTTGAGATTGAAACTGGGGAGGAACTAACTACAACCATAACTCGTACATCTCTAGCTTCTTCCCACTCAGGGTATCAAAGTAATTTACAGATATTAATAAACTGAGCCTCACCACAGTCAGGGAAACTGAGGCACAGCGAGGCTAAGTGACATGCCCCCGGCCCTTCAATATATCAGTGTCCCAGCTGGGGATCAGCACTCAGACTGCCTTAATGCTATTCCAGGGCACTATGTGCCAGGCCTGCCACCGAATGCACGGGAAGCAGAGTGGGTATAGGAAAAATCAAGCAGCAGAAACGGGCTGGCACTCGACCCAAGCAGCTGCAGCAGATGCTGCATCTCCCATCACCCCAGGCAAAGACGAGACTGGTAATTAAGAGAGCACCAAGGTTAAACACAATGCCCTGCGTGAGGCTGGCATTTTAATGAACTTTGCTAAATTACGGAGACATTTGTACACATTCAAATGATTCAATAATCGTTTTCTTGCCCAAGGCAACTGGAAGCCCAGGACCCTCTGCCTGGCTGGGTTTGGATGGTTTCCCTCTCCGGTGAAAAAGCAGCAGCACTCAGCGCCCTGTGGGTCTGCAGAAGTCTGGACTTGGGGAGGCTTGGGACTCGCACCTGCCTCCAGCCCCTGCCCTGACTGCGGCAAGTTGGGAGAGGAGCTTTATTCAACGTGACAGGTGGTAATTAACCATACACTGTAACACACAGACTGGCTTATAGAACACTCCGTTGTGTATGTGCCTCTCTCTTAGGTGACTTGCAAGGTGCACTCATCCCTAGATGCCTAGCCCCCAAACATGGAATATGGCACACCAGTTTGGCCCCATATGTTCCCAGGGGAACATCAGCATAGCTTACTGAAGCTACATCTAGACTGCAGCCTTCTTTTGGAAGAAGCTTTTCTGGAAGAGATCTTCTGAAAAAACTTGTGAAAGAGAGTGTCCACACTGCCAAAGCGCACTGAAAAAGCGCTCTGCTTTTCCGACAGATAGCGTCCATAATGAATGCATTTCAGCTGTGATTACTATGGATGAAGTGGCCTCCAGGGCACCTGTGCTTTTTCCTCTTTCTTCTTCTTTTGAAAGAACTCCCTCTTCCCTGTCCATGCATGCCTTTTTCCAAAAGAGCTCTTTCAAAAAAAAAAGGCTTCTTCCTCGTAGAAAGAGGTTTACCAATGTCGGAAAAACTACTCTATCCTTTCGATTTTTTTTCCGAAAGAACGTGATTGCAGTGTGGACACAAGTGAAGTTTTTTTTTGAAAAACAGCCGTTTTTCCGAAAAATTCCTCTGTAGTGTAGATGGTACTACCCTTTTCTGGACATCCCAGCCAATCAGTTAACTTTAATTGCCGGTAAGGGTTAAAGCCATAGACAGTAGGTCCTAGGGCCCTGGTCTATACTAGGGAGTTATTTCAAAATAGCTACCCTTATTCTGAAATAATAAGCTGCGTGTTCACACTAACAAGACAGTTATTTCAAAATAACGGGCTGGTTATTTCGAAATAATAACTCCTGCTGTCCACAGGGAATAACGCTTATTTCGAAATAGCGGTCGTGTGGATGCTCCACTGCTGCTATTTCAAAATAACTACTCCCCAGAGTTGTTCAGAGTAATTACTCCCCAGTGCTTCTTAGGGCTCTAAGTTGAGGTAATGCATCCACCTCATCTTAGTAATTAAGGGAGCCTGCCTTGGACTAATTTTGAGGCTTCCCTGTAGTGTGGACACGCTATTTTGAAATACAGGCAGTCCCCGAGTTACGCGGATCCGACTTATGTCGGATCCGCAGTTATGAACGGGGCTTTTCTTGCCCCAGAGGACGGGAGCAGCAGGACGCCCAGATGTGCTGTGGTCCCGCCGCCCGCATCCTCCGGGGTGAGAAAAGCTGCTCCGCGTCTCCCTGGTCTGCTG